GGGTGGGGTGGGGGGGGTTCGTTTTGTTCTGCCCGGCAAAACAGTTGTCCGAGTCTAAAATTACAAAGCAAGAACTTCATGAAGACTCGCCAGTCTCTTCCAGGGCCCAGCACCCCTCCCACCCATATAGCCTTGTATCATCTCTGTCATCAAATTCAGCTCTGTAAACCAGAAAAGATGAATACATACATCTGGTAGTTTAAAAAAATGAAAATAGGAAAATGTTGATCAGGGCAACAGCTGACTCTCAATCCAGGCTACATACAACCCAGCAACACTCCTATCCAATCAGTGTCACAAGAACCACGTTACCAGAGGACAGGAGGGGGGTAATGTTTGAAGTTACAGTTCTCAATGGCGCAAATACGAAACTGAAACGTGAAGAGCCGGTCACCGTTGTCAGTCATCCAAAAAAAACACCGTTTACGGTAACCCGAGAGCTTTCCTTATTATACCTGCTCGGCAACACGATGTTCTCAGAAAGCAGGGCTCGGTGCTGATGAGGTTGAGTCTAAATCGATAAAGCTTCTTTGGCAGTTAATATCGCACTAAATCATAAGAACCGTAAGATGTTTTCGCCTCTGCTCCAACAATTTTACTCTTAGAAATTTATCCTAAGGAGGTAAACCAACAGAAATATGGATAAAAGCGGTCACTGTGTTATACAAAGATCGAGGTGGGGGCGGGGTATGGGGGTGAGCAAAAGACAATCCCCAAATGCCGAGTATTAAGCGACTAATGTCATCACACTGGGATCTCATAGCCCTGACAATTAAAACTGTAAAGGTAGCAAAATAATCACATTCTTGCTACGTGTACAATATGTAAAAACACGGCCCCAAATGGGAGAAGACAGGCAAAACCAAGAAAGTCTACCTTAATTAGGGTTTATGGGTGATTTTATATATATATATATATATATATATATATATATATTTTTTTTTTTTTTTTTTTTTTTTTTTTATAAGAAATCATGATAGCTAGATGTTGGATTTCCTGGCCTGGTCCTCTAATTTTCTTTCTTGCTTTCTCACGGTTTCATGTGCTTCTTTCTGGGGTACTTCAACTTTATATTCCAAACACCTATTTCCATGATACTTTATTTTTCAATTACATTTTTTCCTTTGAATAATGTATTTCCGATCTTTTTTTTAAGGAATAAAAATCAATCAACACACCTAACTCTTCCCAAAACAATATAGGGGGTCCTACCGGAGCTGACTTCCCAGGCAACGCCGATGTATGCAGTCACGCAGGATGCCACACTTAAAAGTTTTAACGCTCAGCTGTTTCCGAAATCCTCAACGACTTTTTCAAACACATTTTCACTTTGCACTGGGCTCTGCACATTATGCATATGGTCCTGGATCTTGATGCTGAAACACAAATAAATAGGCCCATTAAAAAACTAAAGCTAGGTGGAGCCAAACTAGTAAAACATACGACCCTAATAAAACTTGGGTATATTTCGTACTGCACATAGGTTGTAAGAATACAGGCCCTATTGTCTTTTTTAATGGTTTGCTGTTTTTTTGTTGTGTTTTATTTTTGGCTGCGTTGGTTCTTCATTGCTGCGCGTGGGCCCTCTCTAGTTGCAGGGAGCGGGGGGCCATGCTTCGCTGTGGTGCGCAGGCCTCTCGTGGCGGTGGCCTCTCTCGTTGCAGAGCACGGGCTCCAGGCACGCAGGCTCAGTAGCTGTGGCTCAGCGGGCTCTAGAGCGCAGGCCCAGTAGTTGTGGCGCACGGGCTCAGCTCCGCAGCACGTGGGATCTTCCCGGACCAGGGCTCGAACCCGTGTCCCCTGAATCGGCAGGCGGACTCTTAACCACTGCGCCACCGGGGAAGTCCCGGGCCCTATTTTTTAAAAGCTATTTATCCCAACATCTACCCCCGAACACTCTCTAGGCTTAGGCTGTGCTCATTTTACAGTCAGTTGCTCTTCTGGAGGATCGCGTGACGAAGGGCAGAGTCCAAAGCACTCCTCTGTTGATCTTTCAAGGGTTCAAGTTGGCCTTTGGGGTTTGCACACAACATCAGTTATTTAGGAAGGCCACCATCCCCAGCACCTCCTCTTATTACTAGTAATACTTGGTAACATCGATGAAAAAAATCCTACCTTCTGCGGCCCGTTCCTGCAATGGGACTTCTCTTTAAAAAAAAAAACAAAAAACAAAAACCTGAATGGTTCTTTTACGTATCAAAAGCCCCGCCACCGAAAGTAATTTGTATTTGCAAACGATCGGTTGTAAATATAATTTAGGAACAACATTTCTCAATTGTTATCGGAGTGCTTCGTGTGGTCCCCCGCAGGCCCCTTCGGGTGAACCGTGCGCAGGGCTATAATGAGCCAGTCGGCAGATCTCATCCGAGCCCCGCGTCCCGGTGGCCGCTACCAGCTGGGCCTCATGTTTTGCCTTGTTTACAGCCGACAGCGTTATTATTCTGATCGGGGCTCTGCTTTCTTATCATATTGTTGTGTTGAGCGCGCCTTTTCCTCTCCGTTTGTGTTCCCTGGCAGGGCTTTTCTTGCCTTATTGACAGTTTGTAAAAATATGCATTAATTTGGAGTTTCCAGCATGTATCATGGTGTCTCTGTGCTCTGTTTGCTTGAAGTTGATTAATGATAGACCCTCGCTTGGGGTCGGTCTCCGGAGAGTTCTTTCACAGGTTCTGCATGTTAACTAGCAAAGCAGAACACACAGCAAGCCGTGATTAGCCCAGCCTCCTGCACACAGTGGTCCCCACAAACCACTGTTGCGTTAACCGATTCTTGCATCACGGGATTATTGGAAGATTTGTATTCATCCACCCAGCAGGCCACTACGGGGCCTGTTAGCTGACACTCAAAGGGTGGTCCTCGGACCAGCAGCATCACCAGGGAGCTGGTCAGAGATGCAGAGTCTCAGCCCACACCCCAAACCTGCCGAGTCACAGGCTGCATTTTCACCGGATCCCACGGGAATCTGTGTGCACATTACAGTGTAAGAAACACCACGGGAGGAGGACACGCTCCCTGACGCTTCTGTCCAGAGACCCTTTTGTGATGATGGAAATTTCTCCCTCTGTGCTATCCAACATGGTAGCCGTTAGCCAATACGTGTGGCCCTCGAGCACTTGAAATGTGGCCAGTGTAACTGAGAAATGGAATTTTAAATTGTCTTCATTTTCATAGTCGCACGTGGTTAGGCGCTGCTGTGTCGAACATCACAGCCCTAGACTGGGGATTTTGTGTTACCCAAAACCCCCGACTTACCTTGCGTTGGGAAGTCCCCACGGTGAACCTTCTTTTGTCTTTCCAGGCATCCTGTACATGTCAAAGAAGAGCCCCTGGATCCAGAGGAAGCTGAAGGGCCGCTATCCCTAGTGACAACAGCCAACCACAGTCCAGATTTTGACCACGACAGAGATTACGAAGACGAACCAGTACATGAGGACGTGGAGTGAACATCTGGGCAGGCCGACCCCAAGAGCGTGAAGATTGGGGGGGGGTGGGGCACACAAGACAAAACACGTCAAAAGTTTTCAGTGAAATCGTTCTCCATTGGTTGTACAGTCTGGAGGATTTTTCACTACATTTGGACAACTCTGCAATGTGTTAACTCTTAGTGCCATCAAGAATCCCATTTGGGAGTATTTTTGATTTTTCTACTTTTTGTTGAAAAAAGGAATTTGTACTCTGTGCATTGGATGGACTTGTTTGGTACTGGGGATTTTCCTCTCTTAACAGTCAACATCAGTGTTGTAAATTTGCTAAACTGATTCACTTTTAGCAGCAGACTTTGAACTGCAGTCCTGCCGACATTGGACAGTGAGGACACCCAACTGAGCATGTGCACCTAAGCTGCAGACCACGCCTCTGCCCAGAATTTAAGGATTCCAATGGACGACCTATTTGCACAGTACTGCATGTTGATTATCACTGCCTTTACTCCATTTTTTTTTTTTTTTTTTTTTTTTTTGCTTCCAGTTTGGATGGGGAAGGCCTTTGGGTGTGTATTGGGGGGAGGGTTTAAAAAAAATTTTCCCAAACTTTTTAATGTATTGCTCTTTTTTTTTTTTTTTTTTTTTTTTGCTTCCAGTTTGGATGGGGAAGGCCTTTGGGTGTGTATTGGGGGGAGGGTTTAAAAAAAATTTTCCCAAACTTTTTAATGTATTGCTCTTTTTTTTTTTTTTTTTTTTTTTTTTTTTTGGCTTCTCCTATACCATTTTAAGTTCTGACCTCAGGCCTCCATTCGGGCCCACGGCCTCTTGGAGGCTTCAAGTTTTCTGTACCTTGTGATGAATGTTAATAGGTGTTTTTATTACACGAAGCTGAATGTCATTTCTCGTTCGTAGTTTTCTGTCACTCATTCCATGTCCCTTCAGACATCACCACTGTTTTCTCGAAAGTCAGAAGACATTCCGTTTTGATCTTTTGCAAAAAGGTCCCAAATGCTGCACTCTACACGTGAAGGTCCTCTCACCCAGACGTGAAGTTCCTGCCAGAAAGAGAATGAATGACAGAAAAAAAAAAAAAAAAAAAAAAAAAAAATAGAGACACCCTAGGAACCATGCAGATTCAGTCCATGAAGAAGTATTGGAAGGTGGGAAGGGGGTTGTTTCAGATTTTCCTCTTTTTTTTTTTTTAATATTGCACCTACCATCATTCTTAATAAATGCCACAGCATTTACCAGCACAAGGAGACATAGGCAGCAGCCCCCTAACCCCCAAACCAAAACAAACAAAAAACAAACTCTCGCAGCAGTTCGACTGACAGTGGCTGTGGAAGCCTGTCCCTGGGATGACCTAGTTGAGATGGGCCTCAGGCTCTCGCAGTTGTGAAAACCAGTGTGGCTTGCTTTGTTTGCAAAATGGCCCAAAAGCTGGCTTCCCTGAGCAACTGTGCTGAAAGTCGCGGTGGCCCCAAACCGAAACATCCATTCAGACCCGCTTGGTGGCATTCATCTGTCTGAATGCAAATTAGATTTCAGATTGAACTTTGCTATTCGAGTTAATGAGAACTGGGTTCAGCAAATGCTGAAGTGTTAATTTCCAACGTGCAGATTTGGTATAGCAGTTCAGCATGTGAGGCAGTATCATCCCACCAACCCAGTCCCAAAAACCAACAGGAGAAGACATCAGGCAGATGGGGGCACAGCTCAGCCCTGGGCTTTTGGGGAGACACATGGCACACAGAACATGACAGTCGTGGGTCAGTACAGCCTCAGTCCTTGGAACCCCTGAACGCTTCCACTCTGCACCCCTTTCCTGTCACTCATTTATTTACCTAGGAGTGTAGCTTTTGTTTTAGTTTAAGAGCCTTTTGGAGCTTAATTTATATGCTTTGTACCTCTTTTTTTTTTTTTTCCCCTAAAATTACCAAAGATATTCCACAAAGGTAAATTATGTTCTCTGTTTTTATGCTTTATCTGATGAAGCCAAATATCCTCTTCTTGTTGATCAAAGGAGGCAAAGTAATTTAGAGGCAATTGATGAGATATAGGCTATTGCTAACTTAAGATAACTGCTTCTTTATCATAGAGGACATTTAGAAGACCAAGTAGGTAAAGGAACCAAAGTTGCAAATTTTTTTTTTTTTTTTTTTTTTTTTTTTTTTTTTTTTTTTTTTTTTCAGTCCTCGGTTTTTGTTTTTGTTTTTCCCTTCTGTACCTCTACAGAGACCAAAACGCATTCTTGTAAAGAGAACTTACGGGGCTACTGAAGAGAGAAATAGGACACAGTATTAAGGGAGCAATAGAAGGAAGGGATTACCATCTCCAAGAAAAAAAAAAAACCAATGCACGGCACATGAAACTTAAGGGGGTGTCCAGTCCAGGAGACAGTTAAGATAAAATGAAGGTAAAATTCAGAGAGAACAGAACAGCTTCCACAATTGAACTAGACCGCGTAATGTAGTATTTCTAGAAGACATTTCTTTTTCAAAGAAAGCTTGTATGCCACTTTTGTTTAAGGACTGTGCTATGATCACTGCATTCATTTGGGTTTATCTTGGCATATATATCCTCTGGGTTTTTGTTTTTGTTTTTGTTTTTAAAAAAGGTTTCCTTTTTTTTCCCTTCCTTTTTTCCGGATTAGGCTTGCGTCAGCATTTTTCATTTAAAAAAAAAAAGTAACATTCCCGTCCACTCACAAGCTTGGTACAAAGACTTCTCTGGCAGTTACTTTTGAAGCTTCACACTGCTTTCTCTATAAAGAGCAGTCTGTGGTCACTCGAGACTTAGTTTTTGTTTTTGTTTTTTTTTTAACTTTTCCAGGCAGCGTCATGATGTGCAGGCAGTAGCCAGACAGGGTCATGGGAAGGGGGCCCTGTGCTTCCAAACTGAGTGGTTGCTGGTTAGTTTGGTATTCAAAAGAGGATAAAAATCTGGTAGATTAGTTCATTCTCAGCATGTGTAGCTAGACATGAGTAAAGTTAACAGCATGAGAAACTGTTAGTACGCATACCTCAGTTCAAACCTTTAGGGAATGATTAAAATTTAAAAAAAAAATACATTTCACTCAGTTGCACTTAGTCGTATGTCTTGCATGCTTAGTCTAAAGACTGTAGCAAAAAGAAAAAAAAAGAAAAATTAGCTTTTACGTATCTTTGCAGGTATCACAGCCTTGCAGAAGAACCAACTGAAAAAAAAAAAATTTCTCAGGCTTTACAGCAAGCAAACTTCACTCTGATTTTTCCAATTCTGATTCTGTATCCCTTGGGGGTATCCCAGTTGCTTCTTTAGGATGGGGTTTATTATGTTGTACATATATCCCGATGTGTCTGTGTGACTCTGTCTTTTTTGGGGGAGGGCGGAGGGTGGTTCTTTTTTTAGATATTGTTCCTAAAAAGGAATAAATGCATACACCTGTTTGTCAAAACACCTTTGCTTTCTGTGCAACTGCTTTATATTAACGATACTTTAAAAAAAGAAAAACCTTTGGAAAAAAAACTACTGTATGTAATGGAATTGCAGAATATGCTGCACATGTATTTTATTTAGTTATTCTTGCTTTCAGAATATTGGATGACATTTCCTGACATGTGGGAGGGAGAAACTCCCAAATTTCTTTTTTTTTTTTTTTGGCTTTTAAAATTGTAACATAGTTGACAGATTTTTTTTTTTTTTTTTTTTCTTTTTTCCTGTTCTCATTGATCGGAGCATCTTGTACAGGTTTTTTTGGTGTTTGTGCCTGCCGGTGTGAGTGTCTCTGTTTTTTGATACATTCCTATCCCTTGTGTTTATCCTACCATTGCCTTCCTGGCTATCTTAAACAAGTTCATGCGTTTGAAAAGAGAAAAAAAAAAAAATGTTGTTTTAAACAATGTTTTCTCCTGCTGCAGTAAATATTTTGCATGATGAAATTCCAGGGTCACACTTTCAAAGTTTATCAGTGAAATAGTGATTAATCATGGGAAGTGTCAAAGCTATTGAACTTTTTGTATAAAAACAAGAAAAAAAGAAAGAAAACTTTACAAGGTGCCAAGATGTACAGACAATTTGTTGCTTTTATTTTTTCCCCCAAAGAAAAGCGTACCTTAGGGAGAATGGTCCCTTGTACCGGGCAAATGCACTGTCAGGAAGGAGGATCCATCCTACTTGTTGTCCCTAGAGTCTGTCCTTGTAAGACAAGTTAACGCTGCCTGCACTGAACCAGCAGTGAAAGGAAACATCAAGGCTTATGAACGGGAAGAGTGACCGCCAGCCCTGCCACCTTCGGACGGCTCCGACCTGATTCCCCGCGTTCCGTCAGACCTAGTAAAGACACCTTGGATTCTTCACCCAAAATATGATGTCCATCACTAGCTATTTTACCACGGGGACAAAAAAAAAAGTTAAAGATTTCGTCTCCTTTCCACATTCCAGCTTGAGCTCCGTTTCCAAGGGTACCAAGAAGAACATGCTTGTCAGGATTTTGAATCTTTGGGGGACCTTTTGGTTAATGGTAGACCCTCTGGATATTTTGGATGTTTCTGAGAGTCGATTTTGGCTTTTCTCTCCTGAGAAATGAGACTTATAATTCCAAAGGCATTTTGTGGGCCCGGTGTAGTTCTCATGATCTCTGCTACCCAGAAGCCTGCATGGAGATGGTACAGCCCGGACTGTCAGCGTGGTGCTCCGTGGAGATGTGCTGCCAGTAACAAGCCTTTTTTTTTTTTTAATTTCGTTTTGTTTTGATAAGGCATAAAAGGAACTCATTCCGTGACATCAACTGTAATTCCATCATTCCGTGTCTGTGGATACAGACGAAAAAAAAAAAAAAAAAAAAAAAAAATGTTGTGTAGTCAGTACTCATTACTGACATGATCGCATTCTCAGATGCAATAAAAATGCTGGTTGTTCACACTGGTAGTAAAAGTCGCCACAGCCTACGTTTCTTTCCCCTTCTGACCTGCTCGGAGTGTGTGTTCGGCATATGCCTTAGGTTTAGCACCAGCTGCTTCCCTCCCGGAATTAAAATCAATCTTAACTAAAAGCTTTTCATCATCACGGAGAACTGAAG